GCACACATTCGGCTGTATCCACTTGGCCGTATATATGCACACATTTAGGTCAACTTGGTGAAGTGAGATTCCTATCTTTTTGTCTTCTGGCTGTTACAGACGGCACTGCTAAGCACACTACAGTGGTCGCCAACTTACCTGGTGTCTTGCCGTTTAGTCAGTTAAATTAGTGCCACTTCAGTTTTTATCATATGCCTTCCATTCTGGTTAATAGCTTTATTGAACTTGCATCTCGTTAAATACTTTCAAGCCTTCTTCTTTCACTGATTTATTTATATATTTATTAGCTGACGAACATTTAAAATAGTAAAGAAATTGAAAAGTCGACAGTTTCAGTACTTTTTGACTTACCATTATTAATATCTTTCGAAAGCAAAAAAAATTTTTCTTTCTATAGGAAACAAATTTTTTGGGAAAAAAACAAAATTTTTAGAAAAATCAAAAAGAAGATGTATTTTTGGCAATACCACGTCCCATATTTTTTTTCTTCTCCTTTTTTCCTTTATTTTTTATTTTATATTTGTTTTTTTATTTTTATTTTTATTTTTTTGTTCATCTGCTTGCCTTCAATCACAATTTTCACTGCTTCGGCTGCATTACTGAAAAAAAATTTTTTTTGTTAAAATCGATCGATAATCGCGTAGTCGCACGCGGCAGCAGGAATGCTCCGCGCGCGATTATTTTGATACTGAAAAGATGTGGCGGTGTTGACGGTGGTGGCGGTGATGGTTTTTGGGGGGATGGTGATGTTGATGACGATGGTAGCTGAGGCAATATGGGCGCATGACGCGACCGCCTACGGTGTGGCTTGTTTCTAGTGGTCTGTCGGAGCGAAGGAGAGAAGAGAAGTGGTAGGGATGTAGAGGGGGGAGGGGAAGATGGAATATGTCGGAGGCAAGGTCAGAGGAGGTACTTCAGAATCGACCTGGTAACGTTCTGGATGCTGGCAATATTAGTAGTAAAAGTGGACGGGTACCTCTCGACGGGCACAGTGCAGTACCGCAGTTTTGGAGTTGTCCGTACCGGCGAAAAGCGGCGTCACTGTGCATAATGTATGGAGGTTTTCGAGATTTCTGCCACTGAGAACACTCCATTTGGTATCGCTTCATATTGTGTATTATATTTTTCAGCTAATACTCATAGTCTTTTTTAATTTGATTTATCTTTATCATCC